TCGTTGTGTTCACTCCCAGGGGAACTACTTCGAGGGTGATGGATGAATTTAATACCTGAGATAAGTGTACGGGTTTTTATAGGCGCAGTCTTGAAACTTTCCGATCGCATCTCATATTTGCAGGAAGGTCGTCTGTGTGTCAGAATATTTTAGCTCCGAAACAACTAAAATATTTCGATGAAATTTGGTTATGGGGAATATACATTTGAATGTATAGTAACTTCAGTTTTAGTTTAAACTGTTTAATACAATCCATAATTTATATAATATTCAAATCTAACTTTCATCAGTTTTTTTAAGATCAAATATTTGGTCTCTGAATACCATTTATTTTGAGAAAAAAGATAGATTGTCACATTATTATGATTTGAATATTTAACATTATTAGAATAAATAATATATGACTGCATAATGTGACATCTGTACAGTACGCGACTGTAATCTTGAGACAGGAGATTTGTAACTTCAATAAATAAACATCAAGGACAATGAGATAAGCATAGAAACATGTATCGAGCTTCGACAACACGTGTCTTGTTTGCCTTTCCACTGGTTTTAAACTGGACTACAAGAATTCCGCAGTCAAAAAACTACAAACAATGACCGATGAAATAAATCCGCTCAAGTATAACTTGTTACCTTGACTAAATACAAAACGAAATGACCGTTAAACCATTGTTTATCTTCTAAAGTTACTTCAGAAGATTTCTGTCTTCTGGGTTGTAGCGTCATGTAGTCTGGTAGAGGTTTACCAACGTTTCTGACGTCCTTTCTGCCTCCATCATCAGGAAGATGAATTCTGCCAGACTACATGGCGGTACAACCCAGAAGACCGCCATGTTCGTATTCACCGTCATAAGAAACTCATATCTTAAAGTTATATTGCTCGTATTTACAGTTTTATTAAACGTACTGCTGTTGAATTATTGAGTAAACAATTACATATTCCAACAAATCATGCATGATAAGTTGTTAATTAATTACGTTGTTGGGCCAAGTTTTG